CGAACATACCTAATATTCCTTCCTCCTATTTTCCCCACAACCACCACCCTGTGAGGTGGGTTGGGCTGAGAGAGAGGGACTAGCCCAAAGTCACCCAGCTGGCTTTCCTGCCTAAGGCAGGATTCAAACTCACCGTCTCCTGGTTTGTAGCCTGGGGGCTTCAACGCTACACCAAACCAGCTCTCATATTACTTGTTTATTAATATATTAATTATATTATAAGTAATATTAAAATCATTTATATTACTAGAGTAGTCTTGACCAAGGTACTGTGATTATATGCTGTCAGAGGCATTGGCGAGATTTGACTGTGGTAACGGCTGACTGGGTTAAGTGCGTTAGGGCAACAGGCTGGTGTGCATAATGCTGGCTAAGGGAACCAAAAGGCAGTGATTCAGTGGAAGGTGGTTTCTTATACTCTCGTGGCAAAACGGGGGAGTCTCCTACTACAGTACCTTCTAACCAAGATCATTAGTTTGTGCTTGATGACAAACATTATAAACCTGGAGTAAATGCTGTATAGCATTGCATTCTAATGCTCTGTCCATCCAGACTTGGCCATACTGACTGGGGCTGATGGGTGGTGTAGTCTTATTACAGGGCACCAGGTTGGCAAGTGGTACAGTGGCCAATTCCAATCCATGGGAAGGATTGAAACAGAGCAGGACAGGGCTTACCTTTGCAAAAATCACGTTGATGGTTCAATAGCAATCTGTCTGCCTGTCGGCTCTCCACCCATTCCCATGGAAGAGATGTTACATTATCTGCATCGTATTCTGCTGGCAGGATCGTGGCTGGAAAATCACAGGATGCTGGTTTCTTTCCCAAAGAAGGCTCATTTCCATACAATCTGTAGCTGCAAAGCCACCTCTTTCCATTGGCTCCTTAGCCATTTAATTCTTAACCGATTTAATTAGCTCTGTAGCTTGTCATCTTGACTCCACTCTTTTAAGTAGCCGCTTCAGATACCTGTATAATGTTCATTAAGTAGCAGAGCAGATAAAACAAACAAGGACATTGTCTCTGAAAGCTTCTTTTGGTTGTCATTGAAAACATTCCATCAAGCTTCCTAAACTGCTTCTGCTTCAGCTGGCTACATAGTACCTTGTGGGGTTTTTTCCCCTCCTTCTCCCTCCCCACCTCTTTTCTTTTTGGGGCATGTCTTTTAGACTATAAAACTAAAAGCAGAGAGTGTCTTTTTCTCTAGTTTGCCTAAGATGGATGGATGCTTTTTTAAAAACCTAGGAACCATAATTTTCTCTTTAAAACTTCCTGATATAGTTTACAAGCACTGCTCCCAAACAAAAGATTCCCCACCACCACCAAAAAAGGCATCTAATTCTGGAGTAACCCACCTGAAATTCATGGTTTGAGTATCTCATGGAAAATATTTGAATGGCAAAGTATACAAAGCACAATTGGGAAACATTCAAGCATTTCCAAAAGGTGTGTGTTTAAGCATACTACACACTCTCTCTCTCTCACACACACACACACACAGCTGTTGACAGATAGTAGCAAATGAATCATAAGATTAGCAAGGTTACCAGTAAATTTCTCGTCGTTCATTCATTTTGGGTTCTTGGTGAAGTTGTTATTTTTCCTTTTAATCACATGGACATTGCAATCAAACAATAGAATAATCACAGACATTTTCAGTATTTTCCTACGGAGGGGTCTGTCCCAATTTTTTTTAATTCTCTGGGTAACAATAAAACAAATTGGGAATGCTCTTTTTCAAACCCAAAATCTGCTAATGAAAAAAAAAAAGGAATAAAAACTAATTTGACATGCACTAATGTTGGTCAGTCGCTTTTCTGTTCCAAAGAAAGTTCCTAGATTTAGGCCACTGAGTTCAACGGGCTTCAACTACAAGCTGGGTTCATGCCATGCCCTCAGCCATGGCAAGTTGAATACGTAATGGTTTATTGATTAAACCATAATTGGCTGGGTTCATACCACCCCTTAATCCAACCAACCAAATCCACAGATTGACTCAGCATGACTAAGGCAGGGCATCCATTTCTTTAGAAGAGATCTTGGAGATCATACAGTCAAAAAGTTGGCAACCTGGTGTCGTCTTGATCTTCTGATCCACCCTGAGGCCTAACCATTGAGCATGCTATCTGGGGGTTGAATCCAAGACATAGAGAGGATTCCAGGTTGCGTAGCTCCATCTGTTCCCCCTCCTGAACTCCTCATGTATATTGGTCTCCAAGAACAATACAGCAGGGAAGTCTTAAACTGAAACTGGCTTTTCCCCCATTCTATGACTGCTCCATCCGCAAAGTTCCCCCTCCCCCCAGGCCTGGTCCCTGGGGCAAACTCAGGTCTGTCTCATTGAACCCCACCATGCTGGGCTCTCTTTCTTTCAGAATTGGTCCCCAAATCCCCCCACTTAGCACGATGACATCATATCTGATACAACTATGTTTAGCACATGTTTCCCTACACCCTAATTCATGCATGTAAATCCACTGTAGTAGTAGTAGTAATAGGAAGAAGAGTTATAAGCCACCTAACGATGTTAAAATGGGCAGGATAGACTTTTAGACAAACGTTGGGCACCATCTGGCTTTTTAAGAAAAATAAAAAGAATGGTCTCTCCAGCATCAGCATAAAAGAGGGGAAAAAGGCTGCTTCTAAGAGCTGCAGAACAGGCAGAGGGTTAACAGGTATGGTTGGCATGATTTCTACCTGGCTCTTAGCTCTAATGTCATGACCTGCTTTCCATATGGCCTCCTTTACTAGTTGGACAAGCAACTTGCCTCTTAAAAAGCCAACATGTTCTGTGACTGGGTCATAATAAATGTGCATTTTCACCATCATTCCAATAAATATTTCAGCAAATTTGAGGCTCTGATGCACAGTGAGACTGAAGAGATTATTCATCTCCTTTGGGATGGCAACATGAAGGTTCATGTTCTGGGTCACACTAAACCATAGCTTATATCGCTGTGATTTATTGAATAAACCACAACTGGGGGCTGCATTTGTGCTGACTTGCATGGCTGACAAACCCCAGCAGCTCGACCCACTCAACATCCTAAGCCCTCCAAATGAATGAATCTCATTCTGCCAGAGCACAGCACCTGGACCCGCTTGTGGAACCCTGGAACTGGGTCTAGGAATTCCCAGTTCAAATGCCCTTTTGGCTCTAGGTATCGCTGGCCCTCCCTGAGGACTCCTATCTGCTGAAGCCACTGCCCAGTTCAATTTCTGAGGTAGATGGTCTTGTAAATGCAACAGGGTTGAGGGGCCAAGACGGCCTGATGTTCAAAGCCATTATTCAGATGGTTCCTGGTGTAGAACAGAACAATCAAGAGATCTCCAGATATTGCTGGATCATAACCTCCATTGTGTCTCATCACAGGCAATGCCTGCCAAGGCTGATGGGATGTGGAATTTGAGGCTATCTTGAAAATCTCACAATGCCCATTGCACAGAAGAACCTGTGAACATGGAAAGCAGGGAAGGAACCATAACTGGAAAAACATATGCTTTGCTTGCTAAAGCAGACTTTTCCAATTTCTCTAAAAAGGATGGCCTCTCTGCCTAAAACAATTATATCGAGCATCATTAACACAGACAGCACCAAGCTAAACAGTCTTGTCTAACTAGGAGCAGCTTCAGTCTTGCCAAGAGACACCTTGATGAAACATTCACAGGATCAGCCAATAGACCAAAGGGGTCAAATTTTGGAGGGACACCAACGGAACTAGCAGTTAGTCAAATCAACCGGAGCTTCCATGGAGTAATATGTTTTGGGTATTCAGTAATGAACTCCTAACTCTTCAGTAATATAATACGCTTATTTTAACTAACATGACCTGCTCACCCAAACTTCTCAGGGTAGATATTTTGGTTGGTGTTTCTTGGAAGACAGTCCACTCCAACCCACAGAGGAATACATTCAGCCTGGTGATTGCTAATTTTGCATGTCAGAATAGAGCTACCTGTTTCTTCAGGCAGGTTGGAGGAAAGATCTCCCTAGTTTATGAATCAGAAAGAAAGCAAAGTAGAAGTGGAGGCTGGAGAAAACCAAGCTATTTCTCAACTCAAAAACAACTGAAGTGGGTCATTAAAGGATTATGCATTGTAGCTACCAGGTCATATAAAATCCAAACTAAATCTACATTGGAAATGAGATATCTGAGCACAAGGAAGAACCTTGGGGGTGATCGAGTGGACTGAGGGGTTGGATACGATTGGAAACAGAGATTCAGAAGTTCTTGAATGCTAAACATGGCAACATCTGGCCAAATTCATCTACAAAGACCATGGACAACAACAAACAAAACTTCCAAATCAACAAAGAAAACCAACGAAAAAAATATACTGCCATTGCTATCATCACCAAAAGAAGCGAGGGCTTGAAAGTGTAATGCAAACTCTCTCTCTCGCTGTTGTTGTGTGGTGTTGTTCATTTCGTTTCGTCGTATGTACAGGTCCACCAATAAAATGGTAACCACAGTGCAATGTCTCGTGAGCCTTGGATCCAGGACGGGGGGGAATTGTGCATTCTCTGGGTGCCTGGTAGACACACCGTAGGTGGAACTAAGAGGGAGTCTTTAAGTAGTGTCCACCAGGGAGTAAGTAGCTAGACATCTCCCCTTGGTAGACAGCAAAAGGCAAGTTCAATAAACTGCTTATCAGTCCCGTTTTTCCTTAGAGGTGTCTTGGGCTGGGGTGCCCGTTATGATACAATTTCTGTTTGATGTGCACCATGTTTCCAGCGGCTTCGTCATACTGGCTGTGATGGCGTTTTCGGAACTCCTTGAAGTTACAAAATTTGGGAAACCAAGACCATGAATTGTCTGGGAAGGAGAAAGAAATGAAAAGATGGCTTAGCATGATGGAAACAGAGATCCACGTTCAACCCAACAGGACTTCCAACAGGAGTGGGCAAACCCATTTGATGATTTGGGGCCATAGTTCTCTTTTGAGAAGAGTCTGGGCGCTCCAGATAATGTTTAAGAACACAAAAATATGAAAGGCATGCTTCCTGCTTGCATTTTCTAACAGCTGGTGTTACAAAGCATCCAGCTTCAGATTTTAGAGGAAATACCTCACTATCGTTAAGAAAGAACCATTCATTTTTTTTCCTCCTTTATAAATTTACCTAATCCTATTTTAAAGTCTTTCTACAAGACCTTCCAGCTAGCGAGACTTCACATGGAGTGTTCCAACCAAGCTAAATTAGTGGTAGGTAGTTTTTTACATGTTATTGAACTATAATTCCAACCATCCCTGGCCATTGTCCAGGTCATCTGGGGCTGTGAGACCAGGGTTCCTTACTCCTAGATTGTAATACCCCAATGAGTCTGAAAGTACTTCTAAATTTCCATATTCGTTTTCTTTCTCCCCGTAAGCAACATGTCTAGACTACGCCCACACCGGTTTTCTTCCATACAAAACGCTCCAGTTTTATAATGTGGGCCTACTTAAAGCTCCCACATCTGAACCAGACACCAAAGGTAGCTTCAATAAAACAAGAACAGCACTGGAATTATTTGGAAAGAAATACTTCCTTTCTTACAGTCTAGGCCAGAAGCAGTTGGAACAAGAACCTTAGTGTGTAGATTAACAGCATAGACGTGAAGGAAGGCTTCAGTTACAAGAATTCTAGTGAGTTTTCCACTTTCAAATGAGGCACCTATATGTAGGCAATTTGGGCCAGCAAAGCTGTTGTTCATTTTCAATGCAGCACAGCAGAAGGGTGCCTTTTAGGGAAAAGCGGACTCTACATCAGTTCCCTGTTTCGATATCGGGGTGAAAAAAAAAAACCCTCCAACACTATCAAAGGAGGATGGAAAAGATGTAGCTGCTTGATGTGAAACTGCATGCAATTCTGACTAGCCAACTATTCAGCTCTTCCACCCCAGTTCCTTCAAAATAGGGTTCTTCAAAAGTTCTTCAGCTTATGCTACCAACCGTTCAACGCGGTTTGTACTCAAGACAGCCAGATGTCATTGATGGAGTAAACCAAATGACAATAAATTTAAAGAATCTTTGGTCAGCTAAACTAGGGTCCAATTTTAGAAGGGTCCCCCTAAAACATAAATATTGATCCAATCCAAACTTTTAGGGTTTTAGTTTCTGTTTTTATCTGGTAGGCTGATAATGTTGTTTTTATATACATTGTTATTTTATCTTCATAACCCACCCAGAGCTTTTAAGGAAATAGGTGGCAAACACATTTTCTAAATAAAATAAAACTGGCTCTTTTGCCTCCTACATTATGACCCTTTTTTTAAAAACATACAATTGCCTTCTAAAACAAGAAAGCATTTTTAGAGAAAAGAGCCAAATAAATTCCATAAATTAATTCTATTCATCTTGGGGAAACAGACTGCCTGAAAAAAATCCATTGTTTGGTCTGTCTAGAATTTACTATCAATATATTTTATTGGGTCCACAGGATTAGAAGCTCTCCTGGGATTTTTTTCCAAGCAGGTTGAACTCCTGGGCCTCTAGTTGTTGACCCCAGGTTCAAACATTCTCCACGCTTGCAATTTTCCTCACCAAAGCCAACAATCATTTGAAAACCTTTGCACGTCAACTCAATTTCCACTTACCATACCGTCGGCTCGTCCGCCATG